TGTTAAACTTCCTTTTGGAATGTTTACCGATTGAATTTAATACTGTTAAACTACCTTATCGGTAAACATTCCAATATTAAATTCACTGTTAAACTACCTTATCGGTAAACATTCCAATATTAAATTCACTGTTAAACTACGTTATCGGTAAACATTCCAATATTAAATTCACTTGTTAAACTACCTTATCGGTAAAATTCCAATATTAAATTCACTGTTAATCTACCTTAACGATAAACATTCCAAGATTAAATTCACTGTTAAACTACCTTAACGATAAACATTCCAAGATTAAATTCACCGTTGAATTATCCACAAGTAGAATTGACATGTGTTTAAGTCTGTGTGCGAACTACAATATTTTTTAGATATATAAATTGGATTTCTGTTTATAAAAGATGGAATGTAGTATATGAATATAAGTATTCTAAATGTAATTTAGATTATATAGATTTTACAACTAGGGAGTTAATAACACGTATACAAGAGCATGCAAATTTGAGATTACGTCATATTTAGGCATTAAGAGATGTGCGTTATATAAGTGTAATAAACTCATAAATTGAGTAAAATTTAAAATATTGGCCAGGTCTGACAATAAACAGGAGATAAGAATGAAAGAAATTATATTAATTAATAGACTTATACTGAGATTGAATGAACAATATAGTACGATTCACTTATTACTGAAGTATCGAAACTTGATTTTCAGCGTTATACGTCCAACCATACTTGCCGCTGAGCCGCCGGGAGAGGGGTTGCGGGTGAATTAATTTCTTTATTCAGATTTTTTTAGTACATTTTCCTTTATCGTTTCACAGCACTTTGTCGTATTTTAGGAAGCTTTATCAGTAGCTGAGTATCATTTATTGAAATATTTCTGACAAAAATATCTAAAGATTTGACAACATAGTGGAATCTTCATATAGAAGTATTCATCCGTTTTCTTTATAACTTTAACGTTTCTCATCATTAACTGTAACATTATTTTGTTAATAACACGAATATGTATAAAAATCACAAAAAAAAGAGATTTATTCCTTTTATTAATAAATCTTAGGACACACTTTACACACACACCATAATCTTCACGAGTTTTCACAATTTCTGGTCATCCAATTGGCAAGCAGTAACTTTGCGCATTTATAACGCTAAAATCCGCGGTTCGATTCCCCGCTTTGGCCAGAACGCAGATAACACAGGCCTGCGATGGTTTTATTGTCCTGAAACTTTTACATGTTCTACAGTAATTCCTGTACGCTGAATTCGAAAA